ATGGTAGGGGGGACAAGGGGGGGGGGGGGGGGGGGGGAATTGGGGTGGATATGATTGTTGATTCAAGTGTATCGTTCAGTCATCAAAATATGACGCAAGTCGTTGATTTGACCGTCATCTTCTGACGAACAACCCCCGAACCTAATTGAACAGAGAAAAAAACGCGCGAGCACAACGATCGTCTCATGAAACAAGCGCTCGCAACAACTCATCTTCATTACGTTTGCGTTCCCCACGACAGGGCAGAATACGAGGGAGCCCTGGCAGTAAAAAACACAAACCACATCACCCGCTCCCAGCGGTCGGGCAACAGTAGATACATTGCAGTGATCCTATGAACATGCACGTTACACACCAGCAAGCTACAGAGATGCGTTGCCATTGCCGGGATGTTCCGACGAAGTTATCAAGTCGAGCGCTATCGGCCGGCCTTGCGCAAAAAAAACAGAGAATCCAAACGGCAGTGCGAGAGCAAGCCCGAAGACGCGGCATGGTACCGCGGGCACTGCCTGCGAATGTGGGCTCTTGCATCCGTACAGCTAGCTCCCCTGTGGGAGCAAAAACCAACTGAAACGCTCACAACAACCAAGACGCCAAGCTAATCAGCGCACGCATCGTCGTCACCTTCAAATCCACCGGCCGTATCCAGATGGTGGCCACGTCGTAGTAGTACACCACCATGTCCAACTCCTGCTGCTGCTGCTGCTGCTGCTGCTGCTGCTGCTGCTGCTCTTGCCCTCGCCACGAAGTCCCGACCTCACCGGCACTTGTGCCTTCCCCACCGCCACCGCCGTCACCACTACCTTCCACCCCAACGGCGGGCGATTCGCCCCCTTCTGCACGCTTGTTAGTCGTCGTCGTCAAGGAGACCCGCTTCCCGCCGCCACCGGCACCGCCGCTGCTAGCGGAACCGGCGGTATTCGGCGAGTCCGCCGCCCGGCGCTTGGCGAAGAAGTGGAGCGCCGGCGGCCTGTCGGCGGGTCTTGGTGCCAGGCCGTCGA